AAAATTAAAACATTGAAAAATTCGGATTTTTTTATTTTGGGGGCTATAAGTAAACTTGTTGCCACCACTTTAACTTACCCATACATGTAAGTATGCAGTAAAAACAACAGTAATAAATAATAAATAATAAATAATAAATAATAATAATAATTTATTTAATATATATAATATTTAAATTATAGTGTTATGAAATCACGTATGCAATTACGTCAAACTTCAAAAGGAAATGGTAGATATCATTCAGTTTTAGATGGAATTAAAAAAATTATTGAAAGTGAAGGAATTAAAGGTCTTTACAAAGGAATCTCTTCAAAATTACTTCAATCGGTTTTAAATGCCGCATTCTTGTTCATGTTTAAAAAAGCTCTTTTCGAAAAAGCTCTATGGTTAATAGTGTATTATCAACGTATATTGAATATAAAAAAAGAGATTTAAATTTCATCATCTCTTAATAATTCTTCCAATTCAAGTTCTTCTTCCATTGTCATAACGGATGATGTTTGAGTATCCGTTGTTGTAGTAGAAGGCTTGGAATCTGATATTTTATCATCATCATCTTTTATGGAATTTTTTTTAATTCTTTCCGCAATATCTTTGGCTATTATTTTATAGTAAATCAAACAAATTCATTAAATATAACTATTCATTAAAACGAATATATATATATATATATATATATAATCAATGTTTTACCAGTGATAGACCATTTTCTAATAGTGCCATCCAATGATCCTGAATACAACATTGTTCCTTTCACCACTAAACATGAAACTTCATCGTAATGTGCTTCAATGATATCAACCAACTCTTCACTCTTTTATTGGATTGATTTAAATTAATAAATGATTGGTAATACAATAAAACAATAACAGCGACAACAATAATAATATATAATACAAACTCCAATATCAAAAATTCTAATTGTTTCATCTCTTGATCCACTAATAACATAAGGATGGGCTACAGCAAGACATTTAACAAAATCTGGATGTTCTAATGTAATATCTGATTTACCAGTCTATTTATTTATTTATAAATTTAATGAATGATTGTGATTTATTAATTTATTTATTAATAAATAAATAAATAATATAATAAATAATATTAATACTTACTTCAAGATCCCATCTTTTAATGAATATTCTTATTTTTTGAGCCATTATTATTATGTTATTTGTCATATATAGATTTTGCCAAATTCTCTCATATTAATATGGAAAAAATAAAAATAGTTTTGTCACCACAACCTTAATTTGTTGCAAATCGTTTTTTTTTTTTGTCAAGGAAAAAAGACTCCTTTCTCCTTTCTCCTTTCATATAAATACAAATCTAAATAAATTATAATGATACCTTGTCTTTTCTTTATGAACAAATACGTTGACTTGAAACACAAACAAAAAGGACTGTACGCATGTATAACATGCATAATAAATAAATATTAATAGATTTGCAAAAAAACAAAGATCTAAGTGAATTACTACTATGTTTTCTGTTTGCAAATTTTACCCTAGAATATTTAATATTTACTTAACATATGAAAATTAATGTTTATTTACCCTCGAATAATTATATCGCTCTTGTTAAAGTTAATATTGGTGAACCGTGTTTATATGCAGGATTACATAGGACAAGTTACCCCGCATATTTGAATAATGCACGAGCTAACTTTATCCACAAAAATTAAAAAAATTTATTACTTTTTTAATCCTGAATAAATTAAATTTAGAAACTGGGAATGACAATGACTCTTAATGATAAATAATGGATTTGAAAGTTGTAATCCAAATCAAGAAAAGACGAAAATAAAATTTGTAATTTTTCTTTGTTATGTGAATTTCTTTCTATATTAGAAATAAAAACAATCCTATTCTCTTAATATGGTAAATAGTAATAATAATAATGTGATAAAATTTTAATTGGTCAGTATTAACTACCATTATATTATTTTTGAAATAGGGTTTATTTATTTCTATCGGTTATGATAGTTTTACAGCCGCAAAAAATCAACCATTGATTTGGTTTTATTTAATTAAATGATCAACATGGAAAAACTTTTAATCTTTTATATAAATATAATTCATGTAATTCATAACATGTTCGTTAAATAAAATAAAAAAATTTAGGTTTTAGCATTTCTGCTATTTGCAAAAAGGAAAAAAAATTTAGAATTTAACTTAAAAATAGAATCGTTTTAAAACCTACATTGATTCATACACACGTCCACCACACACACACTCATATCCATTCATTATTTAATCACAAAGAAAAAAATGGGAAAAAAATTTTGGAAACGATTTTTTACTAATTTTCATAGTAATTATAGCGAGGATGGTAATAGTATTGGACATAAAAAAACTAAAAGCGATATCAGTGATATGAGCGAGGATTCAATAGGCAAAGAAGCCAAAGAATTATTTAAGAAAATCAATGATCGAAGTAAGTATTAAAGTAGTGAGATCTACGAAGCTGTTTGTAAAATATATTTATCAACGTTTTATTATTATCAATTATTCAAATAATTATATAGACGGGTTTGATCGAAGTAAATGTTAGTCAAGATCTATGAAGTTTGCAAAACGAATGACCAATAAAAAGTTATGGGACTAAGTGACTTGCACTATATAAGGTTATGTCGAGAGATATAGTCAAGAGAAGAATTAGAAAGAGAGTTGTTATTCAACCAAGTCGAAAACCAACCCTTTAAATACATCTTCGAGTAGCACAATTTAATTTATTAGACTATTTTGAAGGTTTGTCGCATGCTTTCTTCCAAC